ACCAGGCCTCCCTTCTTACAGGATGGGCGTAGTAAGTAGTTCTGAGGTAGATCTGTCAAACCAAGGAAGCTCCCACTTAGTGTCCCGGTAAGGGTTTAGGGATCAGTGTTCAGTGTTTAGGGTTTAGGGTTCTAGCTCTTCCTTGTACGTACTTAGTAGGTCCCCCGGATCCCCCAAGTAACCCCGAAACCCCTCAAACCCAGGCCCGCACCTTCTCGCAGAACATCGCCGGGGCGCAGTGCGGCGATGACGAGCCCGCCACTTACAAGGCCGCTCTTGCCATCCAGCACTTTTTTCGGTCGTCCCTGGCTCCGTTGGCTTGCTGAGACTGCCAGGGGGGGGGGGTTAGGGTTTAGGGTTTCGGGTTCCGGGTTTAGGGCTCGCTTGCAACGTCTTGGTAAGGCTCGGCTTTTGGCGGGCCTGGGGCTTTTGGTGCTTGAGGGTCTGGGATGTCGGGCTGTAGAGTTGTTAAGGTTTAGGGTTTAGGGTTTAGGCTGTTTAGGGTTTAGGGTTTAGGGCTTCAAGGTCCAGGGTTTTGTGTTGTAGGGCTGACAGAGGTAGTTCGGTTCCAGTCCCACAGGTGAACGCGGAGTATATCGGGACGCTGTTTCAGGACTACATCATGCCACTGACCAAGGCGTCCTCAGGGTTCAGGGGCCCGTCGTGGACGTAAGAAATCCCAAGCCCTACGTCCTAGCCGAATGGCCCAAATCACGGAAATCGTGACCCCCGAATTCTGGGCCACCGGCGTTTGAAGCACGGAAAGCTGAAGCCCAAAACCCTCAACCCTAACACCCTTCATGTTTTTGAGCCTGCAGCCCAGTACCCTGATACTCTGCAGGCATGGATTTGCGGCCTTGCCCCTTGACAACCTGAACCCCAAACCCTAAACCCTAAAGCTTGAGCCTTAAACCCCAAACCCTAAACCCCTTTCCCCCCCCCCCCCCCCCCCCCCCCCCCCCCGCACCGAAAAAGGAAAGGGGTTGCGTGTTTGTCGTGGGTTTCCCTACTACCCCCCTTTATGCTACAAAGCCTAAAGCCTAAAGCCTAAAGCCTAAAGCCTAAACCCTAAACAGTAGAGCGGGGTCGTAGGGGAACCCATGAGTTTTGCTTGGGGGGAAGCTCGGCGCGAGGGTTGGAGCACCTTTGAGCCACTCCCAAGCGCGAGGTAGAGCCCAGGATTCTCAATCAACTCTTTGAGGTGGTTTAGGGTTTAGGGGGTTTAGGGTTTAGGGTTTACGGTTTACGGTTTAGGGTTTTGGGGCGGACCCCTCCCCTGAATTTCATGCAGGGTCTAGGAAGCAGGACTCAGGGTGGAGATAGTAGGGTTTAGGGTTTAGGGTTTAGGGTTTAGGGTTTAGGGTTTAGGGTTTAGGGTTTAGGGTTTAGGGTTTAGGGTTTAGGGTTTAGGGCCAAGGTTTAGGGTTTAGGATTTAGGGTTCGGGTTTAGAGCCCCACATGCCTAGCGCCTGAATCCGGTAAGAGGACGTCGAAGTCGCCTATCTGCTGGCGCGGCTGGGCGGGCTCAAGCGACAGGCCCGGGACCCTAGAAAGGTTTTGGGTTTAGAGTTTAGAGTTGAGGGTTGAGGGTTTAGGATTTTGGGTTTTTAGAATCCCTTAGACTGTTTATATAGAGGGATACAAGATACTTAGTTCCTTCATTCCTTGCTAAGAACCAGTAGGCAAAGCGGTTTGGGGGTTTGGGGGTTCTTCGTCCTTTACGTATTCAAGGGGAGTACGTGAAGGAGCCCTCTGGGTTTTCAAGGGGGGTTGAAGGTTGTACCCTTGGGTTCGGGGGTCCTTTTGCAAGAGCCCTAGCCCCCAAGCCCCTGATACATCAACAGCGCCTCAAACAGCTTGAGCTCCAAAACCTCAAGCCTGCGGCCCTGATCTGCGCAGGATCCCGAGACGGAGATCCACCCCAACTGGTCCACGAGCCCGAGTGGCCGGGCGTGTTTTCAGTATGTCAAATCTCACATTTCTACATGAATCATCTAGTTTTGTCATATACATATATATATATATGTGTACATATCTTTATATAGATTTATATTGTTTATCCACAGAAGACATAGGCATACCTTAAGCTGCCAGGAAAGCCCTACAGCTCAAAGCCCCCAAGCTCAGCCCTAGAGCCTCATTTCACGTTTCTGGCTGCCCTGTTTGGGGCGCGTTTTGCTCCAGAGTCCTCACATTCCCTCCCTAAGCCCTGTTAACCCTAAGCCCTGTTGACCCTAAAAGCCCCAGACCCTAAACACTGCAGCCCAGACCCTAAACCCTAAAAGGAAGCCCAGGGGCTGCCATCGAGGGTCCTGGGTTTAGGGTTTAGGGCTAAGGGTTTAGGGCTTAGGGTTTAGGGTTTAGGGTTTAGGGCTTAGGGCTTAGGGTTTAGGGTTTAGGGGTTGAAAGGCCCTACAGACCCTTAAACCCTGTAAGATCTCAAAGCAAGTCTCCATGCCGAGGCAGCTTGAAGAAGAGGAGGTTGAGTGAGTCGGGATGACGGCCGAGGGTTTAGGCCAGGGTCTTCCTGACTTGGGGGTTTCCGAAAATAGGGGTACCATTTTTTTTTTGGGGGGGCCTTATAATTAAGTGGATTCTATTCTATTCTATTCTATTCTATTCTATTCTATTCTATTCTATTCTATTCTATTCTATTTGGGGCATTAAAGGGCCGAGACCCTAAACACCTCCAAACCCGAATGCCTAAAGCCCGCCGCTGGAAAGTTGTAGATTGCCTGGGTTTGTCCAGGAAACCCCCCCACTTAAACCCGAAGCCCAGGACCCTAAACCTAAACCCGAAACCCTAAGCCCTAAACCCTAAGCCCTAAGCCCTAACTAAACCCTACCCAAACCCGAGACCCGAGACCCTAGACCCTAAACCCTAAACCCAGGGTTCGCGAGCTGACCACAGTTTTCCGTAGAGAGCCGAGATGGAGCGTCGCAGGCTGTGCGCAAATCGGAGGAACATTGACTTGGGGTTTGGGGTTTAGGGTTCAGGGTTTAGGGTTGAAGGCGAAGCCCCCAAGCCCTAGACCCAAATATATTTCCACGGCAGGAAGGTTCCTGAGCCCCTAAACTCCAAACCCCAGACCTAAACCCCAAACTTCAAACCCGAAACTTCCAACCTAAGTTTCGAACCCTAAACACAAATACTTCCACGGCAGGAAAGTTCTTGAGTCCCTAAACCGTGAACCCTAAACCCCAAATCCCAAACCTTAACCCTAAACCCTAAACCCTAAACCCTAAGCCCTAAACCCTAAACCCTAAACCCTAAACCCTAAACCCTAAGCCCTAAGCCCTAAGCCCTATGCCCTATTTAAGCCCTAAGCCCTAAGCCCTAAGCCCTAAGCCCTAAGCCCTAAGCCCTAAGCCCTAAGCCCTAAGCCCTAAGCCCTAAGCCCTAAGCCCTAAGCCCTAAGCCCTGAACTCGGAGTCCCCGACCCATATCTCTGAACCCTCAACCCTTGCGCTTGAGAGTCCCGAGCTCAGAGGGCCCCACTTGTTTTGGCCGGAACAAGGGGCGGAAAGATGGGTTTAGGGGTGGTTTAGGGTTTAGGGTTTAGGGTTCAGGGGTGGTTTAGGGTTGAGGGTTGAGGGTTGAGGGTTGAGGGTTGAGGGTTGAGGGTTTCACCCCTCATCGAGAATCTGACGCAGTCTCGGGTTTCTAGGGTGTTTCGGTTTCCAACGCTGGCCTGAGTTTTCTCGACTCCTTGGATGCTGACGGGCCTTGTTTTGCAGAGGGCTTCATAACCCACGGTCCACGCGCAGACGTGTGAATTTAGGGTTTGAGCGTCCAGGAAAGTGGCAACTTGTGGCTACATGGGTTATTGCAAGTAGGGTTGTAAGTACATCAACTAAGCTTATAATCTAGGGTACCTACTTTTAATTCTAAACACCCGAACGAACCTTCAAGCTAAACCCCAAAGCCTAAAGCCTAAACCCTAAACCCCCCAAGCAGCCTGAGACGCGAATCCCGACGGTGAAGGGGTGCATGCCGGTCTTTGCAAGAACTCCCGGGATGGATGGGTTTAAGGGTTCAGGGGTTTTCGGGTTTAAGATTTTGCGGTGGTTTTAGGGATTTCGGGCTTTTAGGGTTTTGGTGTTTTAGGGTGTTAAGGGTTTAGGGGTTTTAGGGTTTTACGGGTTTTAGGGTTTTAGTGCTTTAGGGCCTTTAGGGTTCTAGGGTTTTAGGGGTTTTAGGGTTTTAGGGTTTTTGTAGACCAGAACGACGCACAGCTTTTTTCTCCGCGCGTGCGGACCCGACCTGACAGTGCACACCCGCAAAACCTCCCGAACCCCAAGACAAGTACGCCGTGTTCGAGTGGGTTTCCAGACGCGCAAAGCACTGAATGGTTGCCTTTGAGACTCTCATGTCCGCAACGTGTTCAAGACACGTCAGAAGGATAACCAACCTTTAGTTTTTGGTTCCAGAGTAGGTCCTTGTTCCCTTTTTGGGGGTTTAGTTATTAACCCCTTAAAGCAAAAAGGGCCCTTTTCATTCCGGGGTTACCCTTGAGCCTAGTAGAGTCAAGGTTTCTAAAGTCGAGGTTTCTGAAGATTGGCGTGCAAACGGAGCTGTGCGGTGACTGCCTCCTCGGTGTGGATTACGCCGGCCACTGAGCTCTGCGGGCTTCACGGTCTCCAGGCTTTCAGTTCAAAGCTTTGGTCCATTGATGCTGTGGCGTCGAGCGGGTCATTTCGTTTTAAACTGTGGTATATAAGGGGTATAAAATAGGTCCCCTTTTGAGGGCACATACTAAGGGGGGTCGAAATCAGACCTGAAAGCTTCGCACTGCAATGTCATTTTTCCTCGGTTCGTGCATCCCGAGGCCTGACGTCAAAGGGTTTAGGGTTTAGGGTTTAGGGTTTAGGGTTTATTTAGGGTTAGCAGACCCCCCCCCCCCCCCCCCCCCTATGCAAGCGAAAAGTTGAGTTGAACCCCCTTCAACCCCAAAACCTCGGCAGGACACATGCCCCTAAACCCTAAGCCTCTTCAAGTTCGCCAGCCTCAACCCTCAAAGCTTCCCCCCTCCTCCCCCCCCCCCACCCATATTGAAGCAGGGTCTATATGTCTGTTTTTGGTGAGTGTATATAAGGCTCCTTTTTGAAATAGGTGAGTGTATATATTGGGTGTCCTTTTGGGGATACAAGGAATATATAAACCCTGCTTCATATCCATCCATGAGGTCATCCTGCCACCCCGCGAAGCCCCTAAGCCCTAAACCCTAAACCCTAAACCCTAAACCCTAAACCCTAAACCCTAAACCCTAAACCCTAAACCCTAAACCCTAAACCCTAAACCCTGAACCCTCAACCCTCAACCCTCAACCCTCAACCCTGTGCAGGCAGATTTATGTTTCAGGATTTCCCGCTCATGGGTAGCCGCAAAGCTTAAGCTCTAAAGCCTTTAGGGGTTAGGGTTTAGGGTTTGGGGTTTAGGGTTTGGGGTTTAGGGTTTAGGCTTTAGGGTTTAGGGTCTTGCATGGGCCTGACGTAAAGGCAGGTTGAGAAATTGAGGCAGCAAGTGGTGGAAAAGCCTGACGGGTTGGTTTTGCTGGGTTAAGGTCTTGGGGTTCGGGCAAACTGGACGCGAGCTTTTTCTTAAGTCCGACCCTCCAAGCGGTCCGCTTGCTCCTCTTGATGCTCTGATGCTCGCTGTTTGACGGCTCTTGAGGGGCGCGTAATTAGATCGCCGCAAAACCCTCAATCCAAAGGCCAAAGGCCCAAAACCCTAAGCCCTAAGCTCTAAGCTCTAAGCTCTAAGCTCTAAACCTCCATCCCTAAACCCCAAACCCCAAACCCCAAACCCCAAACCCCAAACCCCAAACCCCAAACCCCAAACCCCAAACCCCAAACCCCAAACCCCAAACCCCAACCCCAAACCCCAAACCCCAAACCCCAAACCCCAAACCCCAAACCCCAAACCCCAAACCCCAAACCCCAAACCCCAAACCCCAAACCCCAACCCATGATAAGGACGCGTCCCTGAAGACCAGGGAGGCGCTTGTGGGGGGAGGACCCGGGTGGATGCGTTTCAGGGTTTTAGGGTTTTAGGATTGCAGGGTGTAGGGTTTTTGGGTTTAGGGTTTCAGGGTTTTAGGGTTTTAGGATTGCAGGGTGTAGGGTTTTTGGGTTTAGGGTTTCAGGGTTTTAGGGTTTTAGGATTGCAGGGTGTAGGGTTTTTGGGTTTAGGGTTTCAGGGTTTTAGGGTTTTAGGATTGCAGGGTGTAGGGTTTTTGGGTTTAGGGTTTCAGGGTTTTAGGGTTTTAGGATTGCAGGGTGTAGGGTTGGGTTTGGGTTTGGGTTTAGGGTTTCAGGGTTTTAGGGTTTTAGGATTGCAGGGTGTAGGGTTTTTGGGTTTAGGGTTTCAGGGTTTTAGGGTTTTAGGATTGCAGGGTGTAGGGTTTTTGGGTTTTGGGTTTCAGGGTTTTAGGGTTTTAGGATTGCAGGGTGTAGGGTTTTTGGGTTTAGGGTTTCAGGGTTGTAGGGTTTTAGGATTGCAGGGTGTAGGGTTTTTGGGTTTAGGGTTTCAGGGTTTTAGGGTTTTAGGATTGCAGGGTGTAGGGTTTTTGGGTTTAGGGTTTCAGGGTTGTAGGGTTTTAGGATTGCAGGGTGTAGGGTTTTTGGGTTTAGGGTTTCAGGGTTGTAGGGTTTTAGGATTGCAGGGTGTAGGGTTTTTGGGTTTAGGGTTTCAGGGTTGTAGGGTTTTAGGATTGCAGGGTGTAGGGTTTTTGGGTTTAGGGTTTCAGGGTTTTAGGGTTTTAGGATTGCAGGGTGTAGGGTTTTTGGGTTTAGGGTTTCAGGGTTGTAGGGTTTTAGGATTGCAGGGTGTAGGGTTTTTGGGTTTAGGGTTTCAGGGTTGTAGGGTTTTAGGATTGCAGGGTGTAGGGTTTTTGGGTTTAGGGTTTCAGGGTTGTAGGGTTTTAGGATTGCAGGGTGTAGGATTTTTGGGTTTAGGGTTCAGGGTTTCAGGGTTTTAGGGTTGCAGGGTGTAGGGTTTTTGGGTTTAGGGTTTCAGGGTTTTAGGGTTTTAGGATTGCAGGGTGTAGGGTTTTTGGGTTTAGGGTTTCCAGGGTTTCAGGGTTTTAGGATTGCAGGGTGTAGGGTTTTTGGGTTTAGGGTTTCAGGGTTTTAGGGTTTTAGGATTGCAGGGTGTAGGGTTTTTGGGTTTAGGGTTTCAGGGTTTCAGGGTTTTAGGATTGCAGGGTGTAGGGTTTTTGGGTCTAGGGTTTCAGGGTTTCAGGGTTTTAGGATTGCAGGGTGTAGGGTTTTTGGGTTTAGGGATTCAGGGCTTCAGGGTTTCGGGTTTAGGGTTCTGGAAGCTAGGGTCTTAGAGTTTACGGGCCTCCGGGTCTTGGTAGTGGTGTATGCAGGCAGATTCACCTTCAGGGTGCAGTTCTTAGGGTTCTACTATTTGCTTATGAACCACCCCCCAAAGAAACAATGATAGCAATTCCAATATGACCCTTATAAGGAAGAATATAGGTGTGTGTGTGTGTG